AATAGAAGCGGCAACACCGCATTGTCGAAAATATTTTAGTTGGCTAGAGAATGTCCGAATATGCCCTCCATTAAATTTTCAAAGTGATCCGTTGTCTGGTTCACCAGAAACGTCTAATGTGCCATCCACCGTGAATCAGCCTGTATGCTGTTTTTTCACGTTTTACTACGTCATTGACGTAGTTGCGTAAAGTTACATAGTACTGTCTAGCGGCTGCTGTCTTTTCTTTAAGATATTTGGCATGATCTCTATCACGGGTTTCCATCATCAATTTGATATAAGTTATATATGGGGATGCTTTATGTTTCTGTTTACAGTGCAAGTTGGATCATATTTGTCAAAAAGCATAATAATGCATTTACTTTGTAATTATTATCTTGCATAGTCACAATATCACCCCATGGTGAGTTAGCAGCAGCTTGAGAAAAAATTTCATGATTGAAATTCTTGAAATTTCTATAAAAAATCAAGTTATCATAAGTATCTCCACCTTCGAAATCAATATCGCAAAATACCATCAGGTGATCAGATATACCATTCATATCAAGTATATTAGAATTTCTCACCATTACTTCCTTACTAATGCAAATGACATCAATCAGAAGTTGTTGTTATCCGAGTAGAATTTTCTACAATTTGATTCATATCGAAATAAGAAACTGTTGTCCATCTAGCCTCTAGGAGGTAGGTCCAGAAGGATCTTCGTGGCTGCTGACGGTGAGGTGCTGATGAGATCAGATATTGCTGAGCAAGTCTGTCTCTGAACACTAGAGAGCTTCGTCTGAGCCGTTTGCTGTAGAGCTTTCGACCACCGCCCATCACATATGTTCAATGGATTTGTTTGAGTCCTAGTTCCCCATATTTTCAACAGATCTTTCGACATGTCTGTAAGGACAGTCCGATTTTGTGTTGAACCGTTCAAAAGTAGGCGTTCCAAGTGAGTTTTTCATCGAGAATAATACCTTTGCTGGAAATGATATGACCTCTGGCTTCATTTAGTTGTCTTGCAGTAATTGCTGCAGAGCAAGACAGAAAGCGATTCGTCAATCGGTGGCGACGTTGAAGATTGGCTTTGCAACAGACTGCCGTTGGATAAACAAGTTTTCAGTTTTATTTCGACTCCGTGAATGGTGTTTTCGTAAGGGTGGAAGTCTTGTCCATTCTACTTATGCAAATTATACAAACGGTAAATGTATTCTCTAAACTTTACGGTACAAGTGAGAGACGCGAAATGGCGTCGACATTTTTCGATTACTTTCGTGGAATTTGTGAAAAAATATGCGGTTTTTACCTATATTTACTGTCCCAATGTTTGACAAACCATTTTTATTATATTCATTCTTTCACGTCTGTTATGAATCTGTGGGAGACACTTCTGATGGGAAATATATGTTCGAGTAAATCATTCAAGCGTAAGACACGTTGTGATTGAAGAGTGGTTTCTGGTTTCATTTCCTAGATCCCATTATATTTTATTTTTTCATTTTGTAAAATATATTTTGAGTACATGATTCGCACTTTGAAATTACCACAAAAATTTAACTACCATTGAATGGAAAATATTTCTAATTCTGATTAATCGATTGGTTCATGTCTTGTAAATTTCAAATTACTAAACATTCCATAAAAGCGGCCTATTATCGACAATAGGCTCATTCAAGCGTGGAAATTGTTCATTTCTATGATTCGAGTGGGTTCAAACGATTATATTCGTTCAAATAAAAGTTGCTAGTCAAGTTCGGGTTCATAAAAATGTGCAGAATGAGGTTTTATTGATGACTAGTTGTTGCTTGCGGCTTCGCCAGCGTAGAATTTGGTTTATCACATTAAGTTTCGTGACAGACCATTTGAAACAGATAGTTACAATATTTTTTTATCCACCCAAAACTTCAGGTTTCCAACTTCACAACCGACGAAATTCAATACAATCTTTGAACCCCTTGGGGGTGGAAATTCCTGATTCCCTTTCTTGATGCTTATTTACGCTGTACAAAGAACCTACCTGCATATTTCAAAATTCTAGGTTCAGTAGCACCGGCTGTACTTCAATATAAGAGCGGGCAACAGCTAGTAATTTATATTTGTACTTTAAAAATATAGTAACTAAAAAAATATGCCAACTGCACTGAGTAATGAATAGCTTCGAGAATCGATTTATGTTACTTATAGAGAAATTCGCGAAACTAACACAGTCAGCGACGCCTGCCCTCATGCGTCTGCCTGCGTTCGGGTCGCATTCTCGGCAATGGCGCTTCATTGCTTAGACCGCCCCTCTACCCCCGCGCATCGTCCGCCGTCGTCTTACAGTAGACGCGGCGCGTAATGGCTTACTACGTTGCGTCAAGGTAATCTTATCGTGATAACTTTTAAACTATTCGTCCAAATTATTTAGTGTAACAGACAGAGTTTAACTATTTTCAATACTTGAAACGACAATTGTATCGATTTTTTAAAATTTGACAGATATTCTAAAATGTGCATTGTAAAAGAAGTATCCAATTTAATTGTATTTATGGCTTAGTATTTTGCATATAGTGGCTACTACATAAGAGGTAGATATATGCTATCGCGGACTTTCATTTAGAACTATTTAAGATAAACAATCTTACGGTACATTATCGGCATGGAACTCCATCGGTATAGGAAGCGCACACCAAGATAGCTCTCAGGGAGCAAGAATGTTTCCAACTTACTTAATACTTATCGTTATATTATAACCAAAATTACAAAAAACTTTGTGAATTGTAGCCTATATGTTATTCTGATGTATAAGCTGTTTTTATGTGAAGTTTCATCTAAATCCGTTCAATCGTTTAGGCGTGAAAGAACCACAAACATACATACATACATCCATCCTCACAAACTTTCACATTTATATTAGTACAGATAGATACAGATTTACCGAAATTAATTTCCAACTTGCTTTTTTTGTTGATGACTTAGGCAACTGAGACCTTTGAAAAAATATTATCATTATTATTAATATTATTAATTATGTCATGATGGCAAATGACCTTTTGATTTATGATTGAGTTTTGAATATTAACAAATTGAATTTGTTTTTAAGGATTCCATTGAAGAACTTGATGAGATAGAAGAAGAGGAGAGTAAATTCTGTACTTTGCCGCGTGGTGGTAATACATTCACCATTCGACAGGTTATATTCCAAAAAGGACCGGAGTTCAAACCTCTTGGATTCAGTATAGTTGGGGGTAGAGATTCTCCAAAAGGCAGCATTGGAATTTATGTAAAAACTATTTTTCCAAATGGCCAGGCAGCTGATAGCGGTACTTTGAGGGAAGGTATGTAAAACGTTTATTGATCTGTTTTTGTGATATGGTTTGAGTTGAGGGCGTGCTTATTTGTGGGGCCATAACGGGCGTATGCTTCTCAATATTTTCTTCATCGAATTATCATTATTTCAATAATTGTTGAAATAGAGATGTGTATGCTTACATAATATTTCACACATGTCTTAACGTAACGCGAAAAATGAATTGATGGAAATTCTAGTATGCATTCGTTATCAAGAGTCTCTGAAGACACTGCGTCACTGAATCAATAAATAACTTATATAAGATTATAACTGCATGTTATTCATTATAATGCCATGTTCATCTTTGGCACTCCCCCTGACTTTTTAACACGAAGTCATAATACAATTGAAAAGGTCGATATGTGTATTATAAAACTTTCACTATCAGGATACTTCTTTATCTATTCCAAAGCGAAAACGTGAATCAACATTTTTTATATTCATTTGAAGATTCTATTGGGAATCATAAAGCTGAACCCACTTTTATCTGATTGGAGTGTGCCCAAGAATGATAAATCATGTAAATGTTTTTTGGACTTGTCCTTCGTGCCATTCATGGTGAAATAAAATCAAATAGTGGAGGTTAGGTGCGATTAAGACAAAAAAGATGACAAACTTCAAAATTTCATGGAACGCATCAGTTAGTCTGACTTAATAATAATCTTTGGCAAGTCAAGAATAGTATTTTGTGTGATATGTGTGATATGTGTGATTCAGTAAAAATCTTGTTGAAAGTGAATATTCTAAGCAACTGAAATAAATGTTATTCACTCTTTGAAAACAAAAGGGAAATAAGAGGAGAGTACGAAATTATGCGGTGATCCATTGCCATATTTCATAAATACAGTTATAACAGCTACAGCTACTATATAGTTACAACAGCTATTTCGGAAACCTTAATGAAATTGATAATACGGGTTCAGAACCGAGCCAATTCTAACGTATAACGTCTTTTACAATTCTAATCTGTTAGAACCGAATACTGAGACTTCAAAACTCAATTTCCAGGAATCGACCTCATAAGTAACACCAAGTGTAGTTCTGGTTACCTTTCAGTGGAAGAGCTTCATGAAGCAAGAGCCGAATCGATCCCTCTTCGAAACCCTACATCACTTGGAAGGATCGATTGCAGCTTGAGAAATGGTTCTGATACAGATTCTGTAAAACATGTTCTTCCTTACGAATCAGTAGACAGTTGTCCTGAAAATCTAGAGAAGAAAATTGGATTGGATAATTTAGGAAACACTTGCAACATGAACAGCATTTTACAAGTTTTGTTCATGACAAAGAATTTCTAGAACGGGGTTTTAACGATGAACGAGAACGATAATGTTTCCTACTTATTCACCAAACTCAAAAAATTGTTCATACAGTTGCAGTTTCGAAAGAATGTATCATATTTCCCACCAACCGATTTCCTGGAGTCTTTGAAGTCTACTAGATACTCGTTAGGACAACAGGATGATTGCTCTGAATTCTTGGGGTTCTTGTTGAATACTCTTGATGAGCAAAAAATAGCAGAATCAATACTCCTGACCGCTCTAGATTTAATTATTCCGTACAGTCTATCTCGTCTTGTGTTTGTAGATCTTTTGTTGGAAAAATCCCCACTAGTTCACTTTGTAGTACATGTTCAAGAGGTAGCAAAAACGTATGTGATTTTCTGGAACTTCAACTAGCGTTTCCTAATATGACTGATAACCAGTCCGTGCAAAGCTTATTGTCATCTGAAAATAGAACACCAAACTAACTGACTATTATAAGAAAACAAGTATAGCCGAGGCACCAGTCAATCTAATAATAACACTGATGATCTTCAAACATGACTCAACCTCTGACGGAAGCACCAAACTTTTACGAAGGTTCGAAATAGATGAACACTTCAATCTAGCTGACCACTATTATAATCTTCATGGAGTCATTGATCACTGTGATTCTGGCGATGTTTTGAATTTATTGAAGCCTGTGGATACACCCTAAATTTTGTTTTACGAAAGAGAGGTCATTGGTAGATCAAGATCTTCAGATGATATGGTGCTGCAGGTTTTTCCGGGTTTTCCTGCAGCTGAAAAAGCAGATGTGTCACTGGAATCAATGAAGTCGCCCCGGATCCCCAATTAATTTTTGTTATTTCATAATTTCATGATTTGTATTATGTTCTTCTTATTCAATTAATGTAAAAAGTTGCTACATCAAAGAAATGAATTCTTTTGTGAAAAAATGTTTTTCATTTGTAAAATTAGTGTTCTACAGTTTAAATAGTGATAACTTACTCTTACTACCATTGAGATGGAAACTCCGTGAAATTAAATGAAGCTGTGAAATAAATAGATGAAGAAACAGATTAACAATTCATTACGTTATATTTGAGATTTCAGGTGTTAGAATTTCGAACCATGGTTTCGCCAAGCAAATAATATCTTGTTCTTGATTACCGCATAAAAACCCCAGTCTGTTTTATTCGTTTAATGTAAGAGAGTATTTATTTTTGTAATGATTTTCAGGTGACGAAATTTTGGCAGTGAACAGCAAACCTCTTCATGGCGCGTCACATGGCGAAGCCATCAATGTCTTCAAGCAGATCCGAACCGGATCAGTTCTTTTGCACATTGGCCGTCGTGTGACAAAGAAGACTAGAGACAAAGTTAATTAGTTTAATTATGTGAATGACTTTTAATGAGTACCAAAGATAAGCGTTATCAATAGATATGTTTCAGCATATTTATTGAGTAATGGTGTTTAGTGTTATTGGTTGTTGATTTGCATTTTTTTATTCCATTTTACACTTTCAATGAACTGTAACTTTATTTATCTGCATTGCAATGTTAACTAACTTTAACATCATTTGTTTTAATGCGTGGGTTATCTGTGCATACATTAGTTAAAGTAATATTAATGAACGAGTTGTTGATTGCGGCTACCTTTTAAAATATGTGATAATACGTATTTTTGAACCTATTTAATTTTTTATTATATTATTTTTCATTATATAATACATAAGTTTTTTTGTAATGCGTTTTTTTACTGGTCAGGGGTTTTATCTTCCAGGTAAATGATGCACTTGGTATCTGAAGATATTTTTAACGGTTTGCAGTAGCGTTCATCAGGTTATGAATGCTCAATGTGTTTGATCTAGTTGTAGCAAATATTTTTCAACCCCTTTTTTTTTCGAAAACTTTTCTAGGGCGCCGTTTGCAGAAAAGGGCGATTCCTCGTATGCATAGGTATGGAATATCTATGTGGATTCATTAGCTCAAAATTATTTTTAGCATATCCAGATTTACAGAAAATAACTATAACTTTGGAATTTCAATTGGAACACCCAGTATATTTAGACATTTTTGGATTCATGCGTACATTTCACATGACTGTCTTGATGAAATGTATGATGTGTTATAGAAAATATCTTGATTTTCATGATTTAGCACAGATATTGCAAATATGGTAGTTCAATCAGGAATTTTATCTGGATAACATAATGGGTGGAATTCATAAACTTGACCAAATGTTTGAGCAAATATACTGAGCCAATGTTTATATCAAAAGAATTGTTCCAAGTGGGCTTTTTCTTCCAGTTTGTGCCTGAAAGTTACTTTTTTGCATGATCTACAGATCCTTGTATAGAGTTTATTTTCAAATTATTTGCTTTCTTTGGAAGATTCACACTTTATTGTATGAAGATGGAGAAGTAGAAAGCCAAAACCTTTCTTTCACAAAAATTAATCACTCCTAAAATATACCCCTTTCAATTCAAAGAAGATTCCTTTGGCTGGGTATCAAATCAAACTAGCGAAAGATCGTCATTACTTACTGTCATCGATGACAGATTGGTAATGAAGAGGCAATTTACAAAAATGGAGGTACTTATTTGATTTCCACATTCAACATGGAAACAAAGCAAATGTTTTTCAGCCTCATGATAGTAAGCTTAATATTTTTATTGGAACAAGTATTTTGCAGTATTTTTTACTATAATGGGAAAACACCTAAAATTATTATTAATCAATCAATCTAGAACGTCATATCATGGAGGAGTCAAAATGTAACTAAACTTCTGATACATACCGCACTCAGAAGAATCAAGTGAGCTAAGCTAGTCAAACACTTCCAATGAATATATCCGTAAAAAATCTTCAAGTTGTTTGTTAAATTACATGATAGGCGTGCAGCTTTGTGCGAGGCAGTGTTGTTTCTTATCTACCTTTGATTTTTCAGCAACGATGCGATTGTGCCAAAAAAATGTATACCTAGTTTGACACGCAACAAATTAATCAACACATTGTAGTGTCTTTTCCAGTAGATCATTGTTGTATAGATAAAGGGTTGAAAATCTTTGAAGAGCAGTTGATAAGATGTCCAAGAGAGAAGCGTGCCTAGATACTGTGAGAGACCATTGCCTTTGAAAAATATAAACGATATCGTAAGCCAAAATATCGACTTCGATTCGTAAACCCTCATGAAAGACACGGTTGAAGGATTTGGAAATATTGTTCAAATTTGGTGGTGGAGCAGAAAAACTTTTTTCTTTTATGAGGCTGGCGGAGTAAGAAATCATATAGGTAAATCTCAATTCAATCAAATCAAATCAGAGAATGCATTCAAAATTACGAATGTTGAACTCAAAAGCCGCTGAAAGTTATTGACAGTGTCTGGCAGAGACGATAGACGATATAGAATGACAGAACACGGTGATAATGACATGATAATGTCATTATGATAATGTCAGACATGATAATGGTAATTTAGGTTGCATGTTCCCACCCAAATTCAAACTATTATTCTCAATGGAAACGAATGCAATTTAGTTCTCACTAGTACCTACCCATACAAAAATTATATAAATATTAATTTAATTGTGCTTACCTTCGTTCAGAAGATCCATTACTTACTATCTATCAACAATTTGAGTATAAATATTATAAAACTTGAAAAATTCATAATTCATCAATCGACGCAATTAGAACAATATATTAACTTCTGTGTTCTTCACAGCCACTTATGAAATTATTTTTCGCCATAGCCAACTCTGCCTCTCAGATCTACAAAACTAATGTTTGACTAGTATGAAGCTTCACAAATTTGCATTATGACCAAGTTTATGAGGTTTTGTCCCAGTGTATGACGGTTGCTTGAGATGTAATATTCTGAATAACGGAGTATTGTTTATAACAATAACGATAAAATAACTGGTTTACTTTTATGTGGATGATTTTTCTTGCTCTTTTTGGGTTGGTATAAGCTTGAATTCAAGATTCTTATTTTCATAGCGAGTTGAAGAGCTGGTGCATATTTTTGACTACATTCCAAGAATCATTTTATAGAGGTAGTTGTTGTTGTATGGAGATAATGGATGCTATATCCTGTACTGGAAATTACCTGTGGAATCGGATTCAACTTGGCCGACAAGAAAATTTGCTCGTTGGTATTGCGAGGGTGGAATTATAGATTTGGTGAGTTTTTGACTAAACGACTTCATAGTCAATAACCAAATAGATCAAGCGACTTCCTATGAATAAGCTTCCTTGAACCACATGCGATTCTAGTGTTTTTTCTCGTTTGTAAAGCAGGTGGTTTAGTCAAAAAAAAATATCCGAAGCTGACTGTTGTTACTGCAAAGTAACATAAGGTAACATGTGAAAACAGGGTTAACTTATCCATGTCCTGACAGAAATAGTCATTGTCTATCATTTGAGCCTTTACACTTAGAATCATCTGCAGTCTTCAGTATTCTAGGTACTAAAGAACACATGACACATTTTATCCAACTAATTGTACTTACTTTCTTTGTTCAAATGAGAGCTCCATCACTGCTCAATTTCTTTCTCTATAAATTCAATATTGAGGGACCTCTAGAGTCTACAGTAGACCCTTGAGACATTGTTGAGATCTAAAGATTTCTTACTCCTTTGTGAAAAGTAATTGAAGATTTCTGTAATGATACCAGAGTCTCTGTTAGACTACTCGCCACGAGATGGCAATAAGTGTTCGTTTTTCCAAGTGCTTCACGGTAAGAGAAACTGATATTTAAAAATATCATATTGTATTGTTTGGAATCAACGAGACGAATTGTTTCATTTATAAGAATGTTGTATTTTCTTAAAATTATTTTAGAAGAAAGCAGAAAAGAAATTTTCAGGATCTTTAGCCTGGTTCATTCTGGCGATCTTAAGCATTATGCAAGTTCAGCAAATACCATCTTCTATTTTTTTTTCAACATACTTCTCAAGAGGCTCAACTGCTCTCAGCTTTTTCCTGTCAATTTTTGAAAATAGTTTGCATTATTCCAGATTGTGCTACATCTACCTAAATATTGAGACTTTCAAATGGAATATTGTCCCAAAAACCTTCTCTTCATCATAACCTAATCACACACTTATCAGAAAAAACCACATCCCTGGCTAATACCATGAAGGGCGTTCGATTATATTCGACAGGTGTACGTGCAGGATTCTTCACTTTTATTCCTGCATAAGCTGTTGGTGAAACAACTGCCGCAATGGATTTTCAATTATTGGAACACACTTATTGGAACCAAAACTGGTCTGCAAGTGTGTTTCAATGATTGAAAATCTATTGCGGCAGTTGCATCGCCAACAGCATATGCAGAAATAACTAACTTCAGTGAAGAATCCTGCCCTGACACCTGTCGGATATAATTCGACACCCTTAGTGACTTTAGCCAGGGAAGTAGTTGTTTTATGATAGGTGTCAGTCCATTAACCTACAGTGTAGATATATTCCAGACTGGCCTGAACGAATTGTTCCTTTAGATGATTTAATCATCACTTCATCGAAAACACTGAGTTACTATTAGTTGAAACAAGAGTCAGTGGACGACTTCTTTCAAACTACTGAGACTATCGATTTCGAGCCACATTGACAAATTTCCCAAAAGATTACAAATATGTAACATTGGTATTGAAACACCACCACAGAGATAGATGTATGTTTTCATATCGAATATTGTGAGAATCTTCAGAAAGTTTTCAGTTTTACAAAAACGCAACACGTGTTGGCAAGGGCACAAAGTAAAAAGTCATACTTATTCAGCAACCCAAAAAACATATAGATTCATTCGATAAGAATAATTTTTTTCTTCACCATACCTGTGGATGATTGGATTACTACGAAATTAACATATTTTGAAAATAGCGGCGTCCATAGAATTGTTTGGGTATCATATTGTTTCGGTAGTCACCAAAAAGCATTTTTTTCTAAATATTGATTCGTATAAAACTGCATTCTGTAATCAATTTCTTTCATTTATCATTTCATTGTTAGGTTACCACGCAGAGGAATGTGTTGTACATCGTCTATTGATGTAGCTTGGGTGATATAATGGGTGATATATGATTATCTGTAATTGATACTACAATATGAAGATTGATGATAAACAATTCTGAAATATCTTTCATGAAAATCTTCCTGGAGAATGAATCAGCGAATTGAAAAAAAAAACACTTTTCTGCTTAATGTTTCAATAAAGTTATTACGGTGAGAACTAAAATATCATTTCTTCATCTTGAGACTCCTCAGAACCAACAGAAATATTTTTGTTACCCAGTGAAACAAATCAAGTACTTTCAAAACAATTTATTTAGCTTAAATATAAACATTTTATGTCACATTGAAATAATATCAACACATATATCAACAACAAACAAAATTCAACTAGGAATGTATATAATTCATATTAAATTTCAACCGAACACAAATAATGTACGCAGCAACTATCAGCAACATATTTTGACATTTACAATACTACTGCTAATTATCCTTTTATTTATACAGAAGGTCAGCCAATGAATAGATGGGTGATGTCAAAATTGACAGTATTGTTAAAACATGATTCCGTTTTAATTATTTCATCGAAAGGAAAAGAATAGAACAATTTTGTATGTCACAGAAAACCCCAAATTTAATATAATACATGTAAACTGGGACCATTTCATAACAAATGAGGCATATAGGATTTTCCAAGAGATAAACCAGAGAATGGGTATTCGTGCTTTGAAATACTTACTCTCCACTGTAACTGTGGCTCGTTAAACAAACTTCTGGCAGTTACCTTTTCGCTGACTGGAATAATAATCGAAAAAGAAGACAAATTGGCAGAAGCTTTCGCTCTGTCTAAATGTATTGAAGTCCACTACCGTCCTGGATACTATAACACAGATCTATAACAAATTGATGAACTTTATTTTCCATTTTATCGATTAATGAAATATTTCCCACGTGTTGTGGAATTACTTGAAATCAATTAATTGGGACCAGATCAACAAGACACATTTTAGTTCCACCCATCTTTTCAAAGACTATACGGTACACCCAGCATAACAGTACAACGACCCATTTCATTTATTTCAGGAAAAAATTGAGATATAAAGTAATGGGGACAGATAAAAATTCTTAATAATAAAATACAAGAGATATCTAAACGTCGTTGTAATATATTTCGATTTGATTCATGCCCAATATCAACATTCCAATTTTTTTTATGTCGTATTCTGTACATTAATGAGAAAGAAGTCTCATTTCTTTCTATTTTGTAACAGAAGTTGAATGCAACATTCGCTTTTTTCAGAAATGAAACTGGAAATAATGAATAAAAGTCATACAGTTTCGTGTGGTCGAATGTAGGTTCTTCGCTTGAAAATATTGCCGAAAAACTGTTTTCTATAAACGTTTGTGTATCTAAAAATATTATCCGAATGCGTTCTAGAACTAATTGAAACTCATTCAGAGCTCATCCATTTTGAATCGACTTGAGGAAACGGACAGACATTGGATATTTAAAAATTGATTTCGAATTGAGGACCGACCACTCGTTAAATGAAAATAAACCTATATCAATATCATTCTGATGAACTTATTTCTTTAGGATGGGTACTTTTCAGTGATATCATTTGTTGAGAAAATATCTGTGAAAACTCTCCTTGCACTGTATATCATGTTTTGAAACTCAGATTTCGTTTAACATTGTTCATTGTAGTAGTAAAAATTGAATATGAACGAAAACTATTCGATATCAATGAAATTTTTATCGTTTTTTTCAACATTTTTCATATAAAGCTATCGTTATGTTTTTTGTCCAAAATTTGATACGACTCTACTCGAAACCACCCATCGTAACGGTATTATTTTTCATTTGCACTTGGTTGTGTTTTGTTATGAACAGAATTGAGACAATGTTCAAAAAAAATCGGCCTCAAATTCCAAACAGGGTGAAAAACTAGTAAAAGTGTGCCTGGTCTAAGCTTGGAATGATAAGGTATTAATTTCACTGGAACGCTGAAGAAAAATAGATCTTTTAGATCAGGTGGTATGAAAAATTGGCAAAAAATTCATACAATTCATCATTATTTATTTTTCAAATGCTTATATTCATTCAGTTTTGCTATTTTTGAGTAATAAAGACAAAATACGAAATTAGTTGCCATATTTAATTCAGAAGAAATCAGAGAGTTTTGTAAACCTTTCCAAAAAATATATCTGCGTTCCATTTTGGGGGTTATTTTGATAAGTCGATATCAAAACTAACAATTTCATTCAAACAAAGAAGGAAACTAACGTTTGAACAAGTTGAAATTTTATTCGAAATTCCCAACAAAATTATTTCCTGTCTACTTCATACCTCAATTTTTTTTTCTACATCGCTGAAGATCCCTCCAACTATGAACGGTATTAGCGAAGCACATGTAGATTTGGCACATATCACATAATTATACACTGTGTCCTCGCAACGCCCCTCTGCGTCAGTAGAATTGAAGCAATATCAGCAGAATGGGGTACAGTCTATGAATTCGGACTACCGAACACGCCGAACTGACGTTCGACGGAAAGTTATTTTCTTCAATTTCAGTCAGAGGACCTTGCAAACTGTTGATTAGACGCTTTTGGCTGTTTTCGGTACTTTCTTCTGATTTTTCTTCAGTATCTTCTACTATCTCTACACGATCTTGGATTTCTACTTCTGCAAAGAAAACAAAAAGTTCATGTCTCATGATATTTAATCTTTCATTCAATCTGTACACAGTACAAACGAATGTTGGTAAAAACCTATTTTTCGCATTTCAGGGTTCAAAATTCATTCAATTATCTCGTTTCAAAATTCAACGCCAAAGCTAAGTTATCATTACTCCTTTCTATGAGGATAACTATCAATACTAGTTTATATTCATTGAAACTGAAAATATTCCACGATCCATAATACGGCGATATTCACATAATTATCATTAACAGACATATTACTTTTATCAACTTCAGATTCAATTGAACCTCCTAGTCTAATTTTCTACGCACAGACTTGAATCTTCTGTAGGTTTGCCCATTTATTCCCTTTCCCCGCTTATCTTTTACATTGTATCATATGTATGTACAAAAATGTAAAACAAGAGGAGAATAAATTATTATTATTATTATTATTATTATGACAAT